TCGTGGTCAAAGCAACTCAAGTGGGGAAATGCGACCTTGACCGCATCAAACGTGCCGTCTCCAACGATCGCGCCGTCCTCCATGACAAGCACGCGGTCGGCTTGCGGTAGGAAATGGTAGTGGCTGTTGAGCACGAGGATGACCGTTTTGTCATGGAGCATGTTCTGCACACACTCGCGGAAGACCGCGCCAGCCACGTGCACATCGAGAGCGCTCAACGGGTCGTCCAGCAACACCAAATCCGCCATGTCTGATCTGTACATGGCTCTGGCTAAGCTCACTCGAGCCTTCTGGCCGCCGCTCAAGTTGATCCCTCGTTCTCCGATCTCGGTCTCGTCACCGTCGGGTAAAATCGCCAAGTCCGCTTTGAGTTGGCATGCTGCCACGACGCGATCGTACTTGGCCGTGTCCAGCGCCGCCGAGAACAAAATGTTGTCTCTCACCGTTGCATGCTGGATCCATGCTTCTTGGTTAACGTACGCGACGCGACCAGCGACCTCGCGGCGGCCGCTCACTTGCTGGATTTCGCCCAAGATCGCGCTGATCAAACTCGACTTGCCAGCCCCGACCGGGCCGACCACGATGGTCAGAGTTCCGGCGGCAATGCTCAAGTTGATTCGCTTCAGCGTCAGCGGCACCGCGTCCATCGGGGTGGACGCGCCCGCCAGGTCTGCGTTCCAGCTGAACGACGCCTCGTCAAGGTCGACTTTTGGGTCGCACGATGTCCCTTGCATCTCTTGGAGAATCGGCGCGTCGTCGGGGATTTCGTTGGCTACCATAAACTTGCCGATGCGTGCGCATGATGCCAGCGCCTCCGACGCAAACATGATGGAGCTGGAAAACACGGTGCATGGAAGCCTGGCCACATTCATGTAGGCCAGCGCGGTAAACGCCCGAGACGGCGTGAGTTCGTGGCCTTGAGCAGCGTACACCGCCAAGCACAAGGCCAGCGAAAACACCGGCGCGATCGACAGCATGACAGTGTTGAGCACGCGCTGATACTGGTACGTCCGGAGCAGCGCTAGTTCGCGCGCGCGAATGGCTTCGATTTGAGCTTGGACAAAGCCTTCCCACGCGTACATTTTGACGACGCGAACGCCTTGGAGGATTTCGTTTGTCAACTTGATGCGCTCGGCTTGGACAGTCAAGACGTCTCGACGTACTTTTCCCACGGCTTTCGACGACACGTAGCTCCAGTAGAGGACGGCCGCCATGGACACACCGACGACAGCCCCTACGACGGCACCCATGTCGACTCCGATCAGAATGAAGATAAGTAAGAGTGTGAAAGGAGCCACGACGACCCAGGGACCGACCATGTAACCTTGAAAGAGCCGTTCCGAGTCGACGGACGAGAGAGTCACGATCTCGCCCGACGACATCTCGCGCCTGGCAAACCCTGACAGCCGGAGCGTTTTGAGATAAACCGAGTCCATCACGATCGATTTGGCATTCACGCCCAAGTTAGACGTCAAGTATTGCCCGAAGTCGACCATCGTGACCGACACGAACGAGAGCACGGTGAGGAGACCAGCTAGAGCGTACCCAGACGAAATCCCGATACTTGTGTGGGCTGTCATGCCGTCGGGCGTTTGGAGGAAGTCCAAGAGGGACTTAATGACCGTGGGCTGCACGAGCATGAGCACCGAGTAGAGCCCGTACAGAGCTGTGGTCCACAGAGTTTTGGTCTGCAGCGTCCGCCAGATCGCCCGGGCATAATCCGGCGTGGCCTCGAGCTTCTCGCGTTCCCAGTGGATCTGAAATCGTTCGTTCAAGTACGCCGCCGTGTCCTTTGGGCTGAGCTTCCACACGTCCTGCTCTTGCAGAGTTTTCTTTGCACCGCGTTGAATCAAGCGATCCATCCACAGCATCGTGACGAGGCTAAACCAACTCGCTGCGCCCATGGGGTTGGGCACGTCCCGCCACGCAATGTCACCGTTTGGCGGTGCTTGTGCTTCTTTCGGTGACGCCAGCGCTGTGAATTCGACGGTCGGGCCATCGTTCACCACGCCAACCTCGTCCTTGGGCGCCATCATGACAGGACTCCAAGTGGCACAAGTTTGCAGTTACGCCCGCTTCGGGTGCGGGATTGCGAATTAGGTGTCAGAATGTGTATTTTGGTGCTGTACTGGGGCAAAATACGCACTGGTTTTCGAAAGTCAGTGCATATTCCGCCTGCAAACGATTGGTTCGACTGGGAACTGGTCACTGGCCATGCCACGTCTAGTTCCGAGGTGCGACCAAACAAGTGCCATGGGTTGTGATGGCTTCGTTCAGCCGAGAGCTCAAGTCAAGAAAGCCAAAGGGTCAGTCGTGAGGTACGCGCGGTAGTTTGCTCTAACTCACTCGTGCCCCCACAATAACAGATCACTCCGAGCGATCTCTTTGCTCTGCCGAATGGTGGCGATTCCGTGTGCCAACATGGAATCCGTGTTCCGTCATAGTTGGCGGGAGAAGATTACCATCGTACGGCTGTCAATGAGACGGACGAAGTGAGCGGTGGGGGGGAGCTTTGCGACGGGGTTCGTTGGCGAAGCACCTCCAATTATAAATCTCCCACTGATGGGGCCATTCGACACAACTGGGGCTTGCTCCAACAATCGAGTTGAAGCCGTAGATTCGTAGGTTCTGTTTTTTCCCCAGGCGAAACTCGTGTGACATTATTGGGATTGTGGTGTGATGTGAGCAGCATCTGGCGGACCATGTACTCCTTCTCGGTGGTGTCCTTAACGTAGCATCCACCACGGAGGCATAGCCCCTGCGGATTGAACACAACGCCGTGTGTGGGCCACGTGACGCCTTTCCTTGCTCCTCCTTTCCTTGTCGTGGCTGGACCAGCCTCCTCCCCGGCATGACGATCTTGCCAACCCACGATATTGAATTAGCCAATCAAACCCTTGATTTCTCTTCCAAGCAGCCAATCAAATGCTTAAAACAATCCTATTCCACCATTCGCATGAACGGACGACAGGAGCACGATATCGAGGAGAAGATGCCGTTGAGCAGAGATGCGAACGGGTGAAGCCGAGACTGGATACATGTGGCGCTGCCTAGAAAAATTACAAGCTATTGCCGTGATGCGCTGAAAGTGTTGCGTCGTCCACGGCTTGGAACATCTCCAAAGTGGAGCTAGTCTTTCCAAATCGTCCACAACAACCTACCTCATGAACACAGACAAAATACACACCAAATTGTCCAGTCGACGACTGCGTTGAGAGCGCCTACGACGTGAAAAAGGCACTTTCTCCATGGTAAGGACTTCACGATGTACATACTTTGCCATCGCGGCAATCGAATGGCGCAAACCCAAAAGTCCTCAAACACGTCACAGTATGCACGGACCTGTCACGTCGGAAACGAGTAATCATCTCCTTTGGGGGAGTCAATTCGTTTGTGGAGCTGCGTTCGCTTCGACGCGGGGATGCGCTCGTCGGCCGAGCCACCTGCGACCAGCGAATCGCCACCAAAAATATGCAACTGTTATCCGGATGTCCGGGGGTGATGTGAAGGTGACAAGTTCAACATGAGCGTGATTGGATAAAAATGAATGATCTGACCAATCAAAACATCATTCGAACAGCGTTTTCCGGATGGTGATCATCCAAGCCCCAAAACAAGATCGCCACGATTGCGCTTGAACCGATGGCACGGTTGGTTCACCTCAAGGCATCGTTCGGGGCATTCGTGGTGGCGTGCTGCTTCCTGTACTCTGCGCAGGTCCATCACCTTGCGCCACGAGCTGCCCCTTCATTGAATGCTGTGCATCTTGCCAACTTGGACGCGACTGGGACCCGCGATGAAGTGGCTTCGCTCGTCAGCTCGCTGGTACGTACAGTTTTCTTCCTCTAGACCTCTCATTTCGTGCTCTCTCACGCACGTGTGTCTCCTTGATCATGTAGTCGACATCCCAGAAAGTAGGCCAGCTTCTTCAAGTCGACATTCGAAAGCTGTTTGATGGCGGCGACGACTGGAGTCAAACTGCCCCCATTCTCAACAAAACCCGCGTCGCCGAGTACGCCAAGCTCGGGATCGGGTCCTTTTTCAACACACCATTCGATGGACGGACTCAAACTCAAGCGCCAACTGTCACGCACTGGCGCTCCATCCTCCACGACATCCATGTGGTGTACGCCGAGCACGGCGCGGTGCCGTTCGTGTACGGCATCGACACAACGCATGGTGCCAACTACATCCAAGACGCGACGCTCTTCCCTCAGCCGCTAGCTGCAGCGTCCTCATTCAACGTGGATTTGGTGTACCGCATGGGCCAAGTAGCTGCCAAGGACACACTGGCCGCAGGAATTCCATGGGTGTTCAGCCCAGTTGTGGGGATCGCGGCTCAACCAAAGTGGTCGAGGGTGAGTCCGCCACCTTCTTGTTGTTCCTCGGCATGTAATTCCACACTTTATAACGACATTTTCGCGCTGTCTAGAACTACGAGACGTTTGGCGAAGATCCGCATGCAGTGTCTGTCTTGGGTGTGGCCCTCATCCAAGGATTACAGGCGAGCAACGCGACAGCGGTACGTATCGAGCTTGGTCGGTGCACGATTTGATGCCTGATTGCATGGTGTGGTCTGTGCCTGTGATGGAGGCACGGCCTCGTTCGTCTCCAACTTTTCTGTCGAATCGAGCCCTTACACCGCGCTCAGGCTTGCATGAAGCACTTCATCGGGTACTCGAACCCAACGTCGGGCAACGACCGCGCCGACAGCGTCATTTCCGATTTTGAGCTTGTCAACTACTACGCGCCGCCGTTCCTTGCGGCCGTCCAGCAAGGACGGGTCAAGTCGGCCATGGAAACGTACACGAGCGTGAACGGCGAGCCCGTGATCGCGAGCCACAAGTTGCTGGTGAAGTTGCTGCGACATGACATGGGGTTTGACGGGTTACTCGTTACGGACGAGAACGAAATACACCAACTCGAAGCCGAACACCACGCCGCCGACTCGGATCTCGACGCGATTTACACCGTGTTCAACCACACGAGCGTCGACATGAACATGCTACCGTCGCTCGCGGACGTCCATAACCTGACATGGAGTCTGGTTGAGCAAGGCCGGATCTCCACCGAACGACTAGACGAAAGCGTGCGGCGCATCCTACAAATGAAGGCCGACATGGGGTTGCTGGCGTCGTATAGCCAGGGCAACTTCACCTGGACCGACGCCACACTCACTGCGACTGTCGGCGCGGTCGAAGACCAGCGCGATGCGAAAGCCCTCGCCGACGAAGCGATCATTGTGCTCGAGAATTCTCCAAAAATTCCCATCGATGCCGTCAACCCAAAGTACACGTTGCCCATTGAAGATCCGCAAGCGGCGGTATTCCTCACGGGGCCGCTCGCGGACTCGAAGGCGTTTCTGTGCGGCGGGTGGTCCATCTTCTGGCAAGGCACGGACAACTCGACCATGATCCCGCACGGCATGTCGATTCGGGAAGCGCTCAACCACTCGTTTGCCAACTTGCAGTACGCCGCCGGAGTCGACACGTACGGACATGCTGTCGGGAATCTAACGGAAGCGCTGGAAACAGCGGCCATGAGCACGTACACGATCGTGGTGGTGGGCGAAGCTCCATATGCGGAAAAGAACGGCGACATTGACGAATTGAGTCTGCCTGACGGCCAGCTGCAGTATGTGCGCAACTTGACCGCCATTGCATCGACCAATGTGATCCTGGTCGTCGTCGAAGGCCGGCCACGACTGTTGCGAGGAGTCCACAAGAACGCGGCGGCGGTCGTGGTGAGGTAGAAAATGTGCGCAAACCGTCGTCCTGAAAGCTCACGGACGTTTCTTGCATTGGATAGTTTCCTCCCGTGCGAACAAGGCGGCCAAGCCATCGCGGACGTCGTGACGGGGCGTGTGAACCCGTCCGCCAAGCTCCCGATCACGTACCCGAAAGCGAGCGGCGACGTTCACTTGCCCTACTTTCACCGCGTCAACTCCAAGTGCCGCGAAGGATTCCAAGAGTGTGCGATGGAATGGACGTTCGGGTCGGGCTTGAGCTACACCACGTTCGAGTACTCGGACATGACGTTGAGCGACTCGACGGTCCACTCGAACGGGACGCTGACGCTGTCGGTGACAGTGACAAACTCGGGGCGTCGCGCTGGAAAAGAAGTCGTGTTCGTGTTCATTTCGCAAAAGGTGCCGTGGCGAGTCATGGAGGTGGCTGACGTGGACCACCGTGTCAGGTGCGCCATGGAGCGGTCCCCGAAGTCAAGCGTCTCAAACACTTTACCAAAGTGTCGCTGCAGCCGCAAGAGTCGACGACGGTCCGCTTCACGCTGACGGCAGTCGACTGGTCGTACTACGCGCCTCAGATTGGCAGCGGGTTCCATGCTGTGTCCGAGCCAGGGCAATTCGATGTCCTCGTCAAGCACGACACCGACTGCGGCAAACACCCTGCGCTCTGCAAGACCTTTCACGTTGTGGCGTAGACTTAGAGAGAATACCAAGTGGTGACTGGATGTCCAAAGGAACAGTGTTAGCACGTGGGGATCGCACCGAATTCGTTAAAACACTATGAAGGCGAGTTCATGACTTGCGCATGGTAGCCCATGCGCTACAAGAGCTCCTGGTGGAGCGACAGGATTGCCTTGAGACATATGCCATGACCTAGGCTACGAGCAGTATGTTGAAAATGGCCTGGAGCCAGCCAGACATGGCAGTGTTTGCAATCGCTGGCAATGGCTCGATGCGAACCTTGCTGCAACAGCAGGCCACAAAAGCGACAGGAGATGTCAAAATTAGGTCTCCATTGAACAAAAGGGAATTTGCGCAACAGAAGAGGAACTCTAGGCTACAGGCGTGATCGGGCAGTGCTTAATGGAACTTTCCCAAGATTTCTTCATCGCGGTAGAGGTGGAACTCGTCGTCACCCAACTTGAGCACGGATCCACCGTATTCAGGCAGCAACACCTTGTCGCCGACAGAGACACCAATGGGAATAAGGTTGCCTTCAAAGTTGCGCGCGCCAGGGCCGACAGCGACGACTTCACCTTCGGTTTGGGTGTTCTTGGCAGAGTCAGGCAGGTAGATGCCGCCGGCCGTCTTGAGCACCGGCTCGACCTTCTTGACCAGGACACGGTTCCCCAACGGGATCAACTTGCGCATAGCGGACGACATGACCTGGACGACGCTAAATGTAAAGTGAACCACTTGGGCCACTCCTCCGCTTGAGTTTCAAACGCGCTCCAGACGTTTAAAACGTTTTTTCTGAGGTACAAAACTGCATTTCGAATGTTTCAAACGTGTTTCAAATCTTTGCTTCGTCGGCACCTTTCGAGAAACGTCGAAAGGCGACGAGGCCGCCGTTGCCTCGATTTTGACCAATCCGTGGAGATCCCTTTAATATATAACGTCGTACGTTTTACGACTAAAAGCGGTTTGTACTCTGGTTTGAGCTACGTTTAAACTCCACTTGAGCGCAAAACCTTTCGAGAAACCGTTACAGGAAATTGGGGGAATTCGAATGTACCCACGTCCATGGGCACCTCGCCTCCTCCACCCACGTCGCCCGCAGCCGCCGCCATTGACATCCAGCTTCTCCACGTGCTCCGCCAACAGAATATCACCCAATCTCGAGTGTGGCGCGGAGTTCTCGTCACGTTGGGCATGCTGCTTGCTGTGGTCATGTGGTGGCAACTCCACGTCCTCCCATCCTCGACGCTTGATGGCGAAGGTCTTGTCATTAGCATGCACTACGTCAAGTACATGTGCAAGTTGGCTGCCGTGGGGTACATTGGTGAAGCAAGTCTCGTTCTATGGAGTCGAGAACCCGCCGTTGTACAATGGACAACCCGTTTTCTTGTCGTCGCGACGTGGTTAGTGAGCGAAGTTCTCCACGGTTGGTGGCAGCACCAAGAGAAGGCTTTCGCGACTGAGGCCATCAGCTCGACATACGTTGCGGCCATCGTGATGGGCCCTCGTTTCTTTGCCGCGTCGTGCTGGCTTGCCCGGCGTGAGTTACGAGCGCTCGACTCGGACTTGGAGAAGCTTGATCGCATCGCGCCGTCATAACATTCAGCACATGTAGTTTGGTCGTATTTAGTAAGTCCTTCGCGGTTTCACCCATACAAACATTGCTTGGTACATTCAATAGATTTGTCTTCATGATCTTACGCCTCGACACTGTCCTGGACAGGGTGAGCCCAGTAGTCGATGATGTCCAGGGCGACTTCACAGCTCTCTCGGACGACTTGATGGGCGTCCTTCAAGTACACCTACACGCACACGTTTAGAGCGCGGTTCCATCCACCGCACGCAGCTGGAGCATGTGCACGATCCCGCCTTGCTTTACACCTCACCTGGAGGATTTCCTCGCATTCGGGGGTGCCGATAGACCCAAGAGCTTCGGCCGCTTCGTGGCGCACCATTCGGTGTTCTGCTTCGTTCACGAGCACCTACGCACGTAGTCCCATCCAGTTGACATCCCATGACCGCATTGTAGCCAGAATACCAACCTCCTTCAGAGCTGGTACCGTCACGGGGTTGACCATTTGGCCCATCACGTACGCAATCTCATGTCGAAACAGTGCGCTCTTGTCGTTGAATGCGCTCGCCAGAGCCTGTCCGTCGGACGGAGACCACTGAGGCCGATTCCAAAGGGCAAGACATACCAGGGCAGCGTCTTCTGTGTTGCGGTTGCGCAGGGAAAACATCGCGCGATACCGATCAAACATGGACCGCGACGTGTCAAGCAAGATAGCCTTGAGCTCTTCGGTCGATTTGGACTTTTGCATCGCGGGCGCGGGGTCTACCGAGTAGTATGGGTTGCGGTCCATTTCTTCATTCACTTCGGTGGGGTCGTGCTTGTACTTCACCAAGCGCAGGGCCAATGCACAAGTTTCTGCGACTTCAGGTGCATCGTCGTGGGAGAATCGTTCCAAAATATCAATCGATGACGCATTGCCAATTGCTCCAAGCGCTTCCGCGGCTTCGTGGCGGACCATGCAATCGTCTTCCACGTCCGCCAGCACACGTTCCAATACTGGACACGCGTCATCATCTTGGAATTGACCGATTACGTAGGCCAGTTCGTGGCGCATGAGCTCCGAGTCCTTCTTGTTGGGCAACGCTTCATGACATTGTCAACTCACAATGCCCAACATGTCGTCCCATGTACATACCTTCCAGGAGAACGTTCAATTCGTCCTTCCCGCCGCGAGTACGCAGGTAGAACACAGCACGCGTGCGCTTGCCCATGGGCTGGGACAGGTCCAGCAGGGACGCACGGAGTTGTTCGAAGGAAGGGCCGTCGGTCATCTTCCAGCAAGATGAACAATGATTGCAATGTTGTTCACACCAACCAGTATCCGGAAACCGGCATCCCGATGGGTCGCCTCTTCCAAACCGTGGATTCAGCCAATCAAAAGTGTATGCATTGCTGATTGGCTCAAATGTGTTGGCAATGTGAAGAGACATTTCAAACTTGTGAAATACCAAACCCGCCTTTCTTCAAATATATATAGCCCCGTTGCGGAGCGGTTGACGCCGCCATATTGGGCAAACACCCGCGCGTGCGAGCTATTTCGGTCGGTGTCTGTGTCCAAGGACGGAAACGGCGATATGAAAGTTCTCAATTTGACTGGTGCCCCATCACCACTGCACAACATGGATGAGTCGGCACCATTGGACGTAGCAGACCAACCGTTCTACGACGCCATCAAAGCGGCCCATGGTGACAATGTCAGCAACGAGTTTTGCATTCGACTGGCACGCGCGTATCGCGGTGAGAAGAAACATCGCATGGAAAAAACGTTGGCAGAAGTCAAGCGCATCATGGTAAGAGTTGACAGCAATACGAGGGCGGTGACAGTGGCGTGGTAGGAATGGCGGACACAACACGGCGCTGATGGAATTTTGAACGTCCCTTTGGACAAAGCCACGCTGTTTCACCAATGCTGGCCGTCGGCCGTATACGGCGAAGACACGGCGGGCCATGTCATCAACATGGAACGGTTGGTTGAGATCAACGTCGACAGCTTTCACGCTAACTTCACTGTGGATGAAATACTGCGCCACCGTATGAAACACTTGGAACGTATTCAAGCAGAGTACGTACAGTCAACAAACCACCGCCATGACGTTGGGCACTAGGCTCGGCGCGTCGTCGAAGAGGAAGGGAAAGCTCGTGTACAAGCACATTTACATCTTCGACTTGGCTGGGATGGCATGGAAGCACGTTGCGCCAAGCGTCATGTCATACTTGAAGCCAATCTTTGACCTCGGGCAAGTGTACTACCCGGAGAGCCTCTTCCGCATGTACCTGGTCAACGCGCCATTTGTGTTTTGGGGCACGTGGAAGGTCGTGTCGTCGTTCATCGACCCTGAAACCCGCCAGAAGATTCAAATTTACAAGTCATCCGCCGCGTTTGTCGCTGAAGCGCAAAAACAAGGACTTTCCCTTGACGCCATTCCAAAACTCCTCGGCGGCAACCACCCCGGCCGAGCGATCGCGGACTTTGATGTACCCATAGATGCGCCCTCCGCCCCGGAATCCATTGTGCCGGTGTGTCCCGAAGTCGTCGCGGTGCCAACCTGATCGCAATAACACAACTATTGATATTGTTCAAACAATGTTTTCGAGGAGAAATCCTATGCAATCGTACATATCTCACTGCTGCAACGAAGGACAGCAAGTCGGATGCCTTGTTGTGAGTAGTGGTGGTGTGCATTCGAGCACAACACCACTTCTTCGAGCACAACAAAGAGCTGGGTCACGGTGGTATATGTCTTATTGTTAAAGTTCCCTCGATGTTTAGAAGTACAATCCCTTGGGCTGCTTCACGGCCCACGCAGCCGTGCGCAACGCACCAAGGGCAAATACTTCGCGACGGGTAGCTACGTGCTTGATCTCAATGCGTTCGCCAGGACCGGCAAAGTAAACAGTGTGCGTGCCGATTTCGTCGCCCAAACGCAAGCTCTCGCACTCGACCTTGTCGAATGCCCCCGTTCGCTTGATGGCGCTGACGAGAGTCTTTCCCGTGCCAGACGGAGCATCCAACTTCTTGGTGTGATGGATTTCCATCAGTTGGACGTTCCAGTCGTTACCTTTGGGCAATGCTTGGGCCGCGGCCGCCGCCAACTCGGCCACAAGAGGCACACCCACAGAAAAATTCGACTTGATGACAACAGGGGCCTTTTCCGCGTACTGACGCAACAAGTCGAGTGGCAACGATCCAGTGGTTCCAACCACAAGTGCAGGGTACGTTGAACCCTTGAGCAACGTTTCAACCAACGCGGCAGTTCCAGACGGAAGAGTGACGTCAATGATCACTTGGGTCGACGATGGGATCGATGTCGACGAACGCACGTCCAAGACACCGGCGGAAACGAAAGCAGAGTCCTTTTGCAGCTCAGACGCGATCAAGCTACCCAGCCGGCCATTGGATCCGTGAAGGGCCACTGACGTAACCGCAGTAGACTCAGAGGTCGTCATAGCAGTCGAGGAGCCCTTAGTCGTTTGGTATTCGGTAATCGCAGCAGCCAATCGTTCAGCACCGATGATCATTTCTTCGGCGGTATACCACGAAAAGCTGAGGCGGAGGTAGTTTGACATGGACTTGGCGAAAGACGCACCAGGAAGAAACTGCACCTTGTGCTTCTCGGCAATGGGAAGCAGCTCTGATGCGTGCAATCCCTCAGGCAGGCGCACCAAGATGAAGTATCCACCGTCGGGGCGTTCGAACGTAGTTCCAGCGGGCAACTTTGCTTCCAATGCCTTCATCAGCGTGTCAGCGCGGGTCCACAACGTTTCCGTCGTCCACTTCAAGTGTTGAGATTGGCGGCCGGATGTCAATGCCGTATGCACAATGCCTTGGATGACAGGGTTAATACCGCCGCTGCTGTCCAATTGCCCCGATGCAATCAACGGTTGAAGAAGCTTGGGAGAGCCTTGCACCCATCCAAGACGAAGTGCAGGAGCCAAAATCTTGGAAAACGAGCCCAACGCCAAAACTGTGTCGTACTTGTCAAAGGTGAAGAAGGGAGGGGGAGGAGTGACGTGGGGAAACGACAAGAGTTGGTACACTTCATCAGCAATGATGGTAAAGCCATACTCATGGCTGAGTTTCACGAGCTTTTGCCGCTTCGCCGTACTCATAGTGCGGCCCGTGGGGTTGTGGCAGGTAGGGATTGTGTAAAAGACTTTGGGGACAACACCACTGCGCAGCACTTCTTCCAACTTGTCGACGTTCAAACCGTCTTCTTCCATTTCAATTTGTTTGACGTTCATCTTGAAATCCTTCATGATACTGAGGGCCAAAAAGTACGTGGGTTCTTCCATGAATACCAAGTCACCCGACTTGAGGTAAAGCGAAATGAGCAACGCCAACCCGCCAGTAATCCCATTTGTGACGAAGAGGCGCTCGGGATCCACCGGCGCGTGGTATCCATCCGAGAGAAACTTGGCAAGAGCTTGGCGGAATTTCGGGTACCCCTTGATGTGTCCGTACTGGAGGAACATCGGGTCCGTTTCGAGGAACTTGTCCGCAGCAGACTCACGGATAAGCTGCAGGGGAAGCATCGTCGGTGCGGGCTGGCCCACCTTGAAGTTGATCATGACGTCCGCCGTCGGGACAATGTACTGGCCGTAATCTCCCATGGTCGGCGATGTGTGCGGGGGGTAGCGAATTCGAAACTGGTAAACATCATTGCGCGCCGTTTTCAAAATTTCGGCCAATCAGAACTCGCCTGTCTCTAATCGGAATATTCATGTGGACTTCCATGGATCGAACCGACACAGCCTGATGGGGTACAATTATACAGATTTTCAAGCAGCTATTACCCATTCCAATATCAAACCCATTGCTCTCCATGTTGTATTATAGTACACAAACGCTTCAATGTGAATAGATTTTGCATATCGTACACCCAAAATTTGCGAAAGGGTGCCAGGGCGCGTCGAGTGACCCCAAGTCACGGCGGCAGCCGGCCATCACGTGGCACGAGTTGCAGGGCAGAAAGCATGCAAGACCCCTCGCAACATCCCCACGTTGCGATCAACTTGGCGATCATGGGTCGCGCTTGCTGCCCATTGCAACGTGTGCCTGCAAGCGAGCGTGTTCGCGTCAAGACCAAGTCGTGACATTTACCGAATGTTCCCATGGATATAAGCAGGGTATGAAAGAAACAGAGCTTGTTCCAATGAGAAAGAACTCTCTCACGCACATTCATATATGACTTGAGATGTTCAGTGCTGGTAGACACTGTGACGATTTGCCTGGCATTGCGATGCATGTGGACAAGGGATCGGTCCTGAATGGATTCGGATATACTAGTATTTGTTGGGGCTCGGAAGTGATTGAAGCCATCACGCCAGCAACGATTGCCCGTGACGTGTTCCAGCACAGACGATACGAGCGTGGTTGTAATTACTATGGCGCAAAGATTCGCAGGAGCGAGACCATTTCGACCTGGCAGACCGGACACTGCTTTTGGTGGCGCAGGTGGCTTTTGTACTTTTCGCCATCTTCTTCGCAAAAGCACAAGTGGCCACACGGATACACCGCCGTGTTGGCGGGTCTGTCGCGGCAGATCACGCAGTCGGACGTGGTCTCCATTACGGTGGTCTCGGCGCCGTCGTTCTTGAGAGCGATCGTGTTGCGCTGGAAAAGTTGCAGCATCGACTTGGTTGTTTGCTCAAGGATCTTCTGGTGGTCATCCACGCGGGTCAATTTGTCGCGGACTAGACAACACAGTTGGTCGTACTGCAGCCGAACCTACGGCAGCAACAGTCAGTTGCCAGTGCAATAACATTTACCACCAACGCACTCCAGCTTCTTGTTCTTGCCGCACTGTTTCATGGGCGAGTCGCGCTTCCATGGCCTTGTGCTGCTCCGTGAGCGCGGCATTTTGCACCGTCAGGTTGTCGACAGTTGTGTTGGCTAAATGTACTTCGTCAGAACCCCGTCAGGAGGACACCTTCAACACGATACCTGTCGCTAGCTGGTCTTCGAACTCCAACTGTTGCTTCTTCCACGACCTCCGCAGCTGGAGCTCGGCACGAAGTCGCCGGTCGGCTTCGTTTTTGACCTGGGTCACTCGTTTCTGAGCCTTGGCGAGTTCGGCTTCGAGGGACTTGACATTTTCTCGCAACTCGAGGATTTCTAACAGAAACATGAGAGCGAGCACTCGTCCATGCGATCGTACCAAAGCGGGCGGCGGCAGTAGCATTGTTGTTTATCATCGCAGGAACTGCACCGTTCGCGTCGGTCTGCGGTGGAGTGTGATGGTTGGAAGTGCTCGAAGCATTTGTCGATGCCTTCTCCTTGACAGGTTTCAGCTTGTCCACAATGGCTTTGGGCTTCGACACGGGCGGAGATGGCGCGATGGCTGGCGTTGGTTTCGCAGCCTGTGTGCCCCAGTGCAACGACGAGTGGCTGCCACACACCCAACAGCTCAACCCACTCGACGGTTTGCCACGAACGAGTTGACGCTGGAGTTTGCGCACCGAATCCATCGTGAAGAACCCGTCTCGTTCTTCTTCTGCATTGGTGGTCAAGAGCAACATGGGCTCGTGAACATTGCCGACGTGGTTTGGGACATAAATGGCGGCCGGAATGCCATACTTGGGTACGAGCTGCGACGGAATCGACGACCCGATCATGTGCATTAGGTAGTTGCCCGTGTTGGAGGCGCCGTCCGTGGCGCAGTAGTACACGACTTGATCAGCAATCGCAATCACGTGTGTTCCATCCTATTCAGATTGTGTGATCAGTGGTTCCGACCACAGCTTTTCGAGGGGTTGTCATGAAAGAAAGCGTGGTGGACGAAATCATGGTGGTAGATAAAACAGAATTGATACCATACATCCGTGGCGTATATGTGGTCGACAAACCCGATCGACCTGGAGCCACCTCGTCGCGCGGCGTCCACGACCAGGTCAAACGTGTCGCGATGGCTTTGCGGATCTACAAAGAGTGCCCCGACCATCATGCCTTGCCTCGTCAACACGCACCACAAGAACGTACTAGCCAAGCAGAGTCGGTAAAATCGGCCAGCCAGCGAGTACCCGTAGGCAAAGTTGCCCTTAATGTATGAAATGTCCTTGGTGTTGGGGATGATTTGCTTGACGGACGAGTCTTTGGACGACGGGGCGGCATCTCCTGCCGGGACATCTGCGTGAAACGTGATGATCTTCAAGTTGCTGTCGCTGCCGACGCCAGCAAATCCAACGGTCGTTTCGGTCACGGAAAAGAAATACGCATGCAATGCCGTGTTGCTATCACAACAAAACAAGTTCACACTACCACTCGCCGATTATTCGAACAACGACAACGTACCTGGAGGAACCAAATTTGTACAAATGCGTCCACGCAGGGTCGGCTCCGTCTGCCTGTTCATCAAACTTCCACACGCGGTAGTCGGCTAGCCCGAGCCCCGTGAGAAAAAAGTAGCGCCGAAAGCATGACTTGGACGCATTTGGTGATACATCGGCAAAGCCCTACGGCCAAGCATATGACATCGACGGCCATGATGCGCCAGATGATGGCGACGCACCCGCGACTTGTTGTCGTTCATGAAGTACTTTAGCAAATTGTCATCGTCGTTGTCTGAAGCCACGGGCGGGTGATTCGACGGTCGTTGAAAGACACTCCATGATCGTGACTCCGTATCATGTTACCTTTTTCGTGTCGAAACTTGTCCAAGTGAATCGCCATGATTGTTTTCGGAGAGGTTCCTCGGCACCCAACAAAGCAGTAGCATCCATCGGACGTCACTTTAACTCGGACGACGGACGGCGCCATCTGCTGGTTCAGTTCCTCGTCCAAATGGCCAAGCAAGTATCCGTAGCTACAGCACAACCGGTCAGTTGCGGGTGATGCGATCGAGCAACAGCGCGAAGACAAAGGACAGGTCCCGTGGGAGTGGCAGTCCCGTTCCTGGCCCACGACCACACACCCTTGGAAGCCCGTGGACAGCCGAAGGTGGTCCGCCGGCCACACAGCGATATGTTCGAAGTAGCACGCCGATGGTTGAGGTTCACATACCGTTCCTCGGTGCATGTGCTGTTGACATCAAAGAGCCGAACCTATGAGTGGCATCAATCATGATGGATTGGGTTGGCAAGGAGGCAGTCAGTGGGGCAACATACCGAACCGTTGGAGAATGCAACGATAATGCATTGACCGTCCGGAGTGGTGTCGATGGACGTGACGGGGTCTTCAGTGGAAAAACACATCGACTTGAAGCTGGACGAGAGCGCCGACAGCGCCTTGGCCTTTTCTGGCTTTGCTGTGCGTGACGAAAGGGGCAGTGTCGTCAAGACCACGACGTCCGGCGAAGGCGGTGCAGCTCCTGGCGGTGGCGGTGGATTTCTCTTAGGAGCTAAGTCAAACACCACATGACGTGCCTATCTCGAAAACACAAGAGTCACTAGAACCTGTATCTGGAAGTAGTGTAGTGACTGGAGGGCAAAAGGTCGCCAAAGGAGGCGATGGATCTCGCTGTGGTGTCGTCGTAGTCGACGCCGAATTAGGTGCTGGATGAGTTGCCATGGGCAGTGGGGCATCCAGTGTCGAATACCCTGGTGTGCAGATTCGCTGCAACGAGTCCAAGCTCATCGATCTTGGAGTGGACGATTCAAAGCTTTTTTGGTCCGCGATTCCCTGCATGAATCATATCAGCCACATCGCAAATAACTCATCGCGGCAGAGTTGCTACCTTCTCTGCCAGTGAAGTTGTTGCCAGAGTTGCATTGTTTGACATCGATGGATTGTTTTGTTCAGGTAGGGCGGTTCCTGCTGTGGTATGACCATCTTTAGATGGAGTAAGTGATGAATCCTCGTCGTCATCAATGACGCGGCGTTTCTGAGGGACGTCGTGATCATTCTCCAGTTCGGCACGTCGTTTCATCGGGGACTCATCGTCTTCGATGACACGACGCTTCTTGCCAGACGTCAAAGTGGAATGTTTCTCTGAGATATCCGTGGGTAGATGTGACCGAAGTGGCGTCGCCGTGGCGACACCAGGTGTGTGCCACTCCAACTGTCGCGCAGAGTTGTCGTTGGCATCGTCCGTGCTCTCTTCCACGTCGGCAACACGTCGCTTCATTTCACGTTGAAGTCGAGCCATGTCCAGAATGGTTTGGGCGCGCTTCGCTTTTGGGATGCGATTCCCGAGCTGCTGCACATTGTTCTGCACCATCTTCTCCATCTTCCTTTCCATTGTTGCCGGGTGGAAATTCGGAAAACAAACTCGCTCGGGTTGACCCGCCAAAAAAGTCCAAATCTATTGGGCAAAATGAAGTTTAATCCACCAATCATATTGCACATTGTATACTTGTACGCCGCCACGGCCAGATTATCAGTGCAGTCGCGGCCTCAGTGGTGCTGCTGCGTGAACTTGGGGCCTTGGGACCGCAGGGGATAGCGGCTTCGACACGCAAGGAAGATGAGTACAAGATGCATGTTGTGGCATTGTCGACTCTATTCGTGAAGTACATTATGCAATGAGCGTTCTGCACCACCAACTTGTGAAGGTTACACAAGTGTTGCCCCAACAAGATCAGCGCATGCCGACACCATATGCCAACTTTTCCAACAGGAATCGACGTCGAGTGCGATGAAACTTCAACGGGGGTGCTATGGCCGTCCGCGACTTGTGGTCCAGCAGATGAGACGGCCCCTCATCCGACTGGGGTAACATGGACTCAATCGGTTTCCTGGGATAGGCATTGCATCGCTGCCATCACACATACCGTGCACAGGTTCGAAACATTCATGAGGCTTGGAACTTCCGTCCACAACACGATTGATCGATTCCTTGTCGTTGTTACTGATGCGCGACGCGGCCACGGACACGACCAAGATCATCCAACCTCCAACGAACACCGTGGAGACGCATGTGCAAAACTTAATTATCCAACGACGACGAGTGGGCCGATGCATTTTGACGCCGCGATCGCGTGAGATTCCACGTGCACTCTTCGATCCTCTGAAACCCACCAGTTCGTACGTGGGTGTCTGCGCAAGGTTTGGGAACCAAAAGTCGAGCCAACCCCGATGACTTCAGCGCCTTGGACTGTGCTCCTTTCTCGTTTTCCATCAGGTCCTCGTTTGCTTGATTGCTGCTCTTTTGCATACTGCCTCCGTCACGCAGACACTGGGCCGTCCAGGACGGCAATGAGTCCGTTCCCTTCCAAAACCAAATCGTCTGGCCGTTACGGAAACTGTCGGCTCTAGATGTTGCCGTTTGCCGCCGACCCGACGGCGCTCCCTCGGCTTAGAGCGCGTGAACTCGCTGCATTTAATCATTTGACCACAAAGTCTTCGTCATAACGCCTTGCGACGAGATGTGAAGAAATATCCCCATCAATGCCCCGTGTGTATATCAAAGAGGAGGGGTTGAAGTTGTTGTCACGCATGTCGAGAACAACGAGCCGAGAACAACAAGCCGAAACATCCTAACGAAGAAGCGGTAACTATCTGCTTCCCCACTCCAGTGACCCCAAAATTGGTTCGTCGACGTGGTGTGTGTGGTAGCGGCATGCTCTCGTCAACTTTGGTCAATAACCACGTGTACGACGAGGACCTCGACCAGATGTGAGGGTCTAGCAATTTCTTCCACACTCGACGTTCCTGCCCGGTTGTGAGTGCGAATGGTGAGCTCAATAGCACAAGGTCATGTCGCCAGACGCGGCTTCACGTGCTCTGCCATTCCACCAGGTCGATCGATCTCCACCGCCGCGGACCTCTGCCGGCTATTCTGTTCCTGTTGAAGTTGCCGCTTCTCCAGTTGCCTTTCCACATACAGTATTCCAGTCCTTTTGCGATTCCGCGATCTTGATAAGCCACTAGCGTACAGTATAGTATACTGAAATCAATATGAAATGCGCGCGGGGTCGTCGCCCTCGACGCCGCTGCTTGTCCTGTCCACGGCGCGGATGGAACGCCATGAATAAATAAGCACGAGTTCCTATTCGGAAAATAAAATAAAGTCGCCCCTGTGGTACGAGTCGACGACCCCTTGGACTTAGCTATGACGGGCCTTCTTGTGGACGTGGCTGATGGGGGACTGCGCTGCCAGGAGATGGGGCGGGGTGTCCACCCCAGTTGGGGTCGGTGAGCGCTGTGTAGGGGCATGGCGCTTGCCCGACGCGGCTTCCAACGGCGATTCGTTGGGGAAAAACAGCTTCTGGGATACCGCGACCATGACTTGGACGCATTCGTCGAAGAGGTCCATGGGGAAACGCAATTCGTCCAACGCATACTGCACGACTGGCGACGCGATGTGAAGCTGCGTCAGGTACACCGCTTCCAGTGCCGCCAATGCCTTAACCGACTCCAGCGCGGACACCAAGACGTATTCGCTCAAGCACGCATCCAGCAGGTGGGTTACCATCGTCTCGATCTCTGTCAAGCAAACACCCAGCGAAGACGACAACTCGAGCGCAAGCAAGTCGCGTGCAATGCCCACGGCAGTCGGAGGATTCAACTTCCATGCGGCAACGTCCAAGATGCGCATTTCCATCTTGATCATTTCTTGGCGCGGGTACTTGCCTTGGCACAACAAGTCGATTTCTTCCATCGTGATCGGTCGGTTCTCGTGGACTTTGGATGCAATCGACAAACAAATAACAGACACCAGTTGCAACACAATCTTGTCCACAGACAGCACACATAAATATCGATCCATTAAGTGCACAGCGCACGCCACCGTGTCGGCGCTGAGGTCAAAGATCCTGCGGGTGTTGACCATCCAGTCGCACACACGGCGGCGCCACAACGCATCCATGCCATGGGTTTGCACCGTCGCGAGGTAATCGATCGGGCGCGGGTACGCGGATTCATTTTCGACCACCCTGAGGAGGATCTCAATGATTTCGTCCGTGTCAAGCGTCACGGCGGCGTCAACGGCGGCGGTCGCTAAAGTTGTGGACGTGGAATGGTCTTCGCTGCAATGCAAGTCCATGGAGCGCGAGGGGGTGGTTCGATGCTGGGGGGACCTGGGAGACTAGCAACGCTACTTGGAATGGCCACCGTCACCGACCGATCGATGTGCGGCAGTCAGCAACTTGGGAAGTGGCGACGATGGCAGTCACATCCGGCTGGGAGGGTCACCACTGATTTCTACTCCCAGTATGAATATTAATGCTGGACAGTTTCGACGTCCCGCCAAAAGGTGCGATTTCAGTCGGTTCAACTGCATGGGGTTCATTTAATTATCACAATGTTATCCGCATACAAAAGTACAGTAAATCCATAATCCGCAAGTTGACCGTGTCGTGCATGTTCCTAAAAACTCCTACATTTTCGATGCCAGTGCCAGAAAACACAAATGTAGCTTACAAGCATATGAAAGACAAGATAGACGATCCACCGCCTGAACGACCCCACACGAGCTTCACGCTAGAGCCTCGGTGCCACGAAGGGTTCGCATTGCCTGGCACGAAGCATCGAAACATGGGCACATTCCGTTCATACATGGGATCTCATTCCCTAGAGTGATGCTGGACGATGAGGCTCTTTTCGTGTTGACGTCCTTTCAAACAGCAACAGGATACATAGCGAGGGGCTCGACAACGCCAGACCTTTGCCCAACGAATTGTCGTTGAAAGTATCGTGAAGGCCATCCCTTTCAACTCTCAGGATGAAAAGGACAATGGATGCAGGCTATGGGTGCCTGGATGAAAGGGTGGGTATGCGAAATTCGCTTCAATGTACACTCTTCATGCGAAATAACCCGAAGCGAATGAGCTCGTCCAACCGCTGAAAGGTGGCGTGGGAACTCCATCTTTCATCACCGTACCCTTGCGTGACAATTACCTGATGCACTGCTGAGTAGATTTTAACTACATTTCGCTCCCTTGCACAATCATGCTCTCGAGCACGAGGTGTTCGGGGTCGTCGACCTTTGAGATATTTGCACTCAAAATCCAATGGCAATACACTTACGTCGGACTGTGTCATGAAAGTCCCGGGGAGCGAGTTCGACAGTCTCAAGCATCACTCCGAACAAGGTGATGACCAACATGTATTGCAACTACAATACAGAGCAGCTGCAAGATCGTGTCATGCACAACGACTAGGTTGCTAGTCGAGAATTGCAAGCGTTTCTGTTGCGAACACGCATTGTCATGCGGTCTATGGCTCTGCGAATGCACCAAGAGTTCGCTATAGCCAAAGTCCGGTCTCGCACACGAGGACCTGCTCAGAATAGGGGCGTGGCCCCGCCATGCTTGAAAGCATGCACGGCCTCGGCGGAGGTCGATCTGGAAATTCCACATGATGAGCAAGTTTATGTTTTAGCTTGCTTACAGTATTTATATAATTGGCGTAGAGAAATCAAGTTTACAGTTAAAAACTTACTAGTATACTAGTAAAATGAAAACAAATATCCATTATCCGGATTTTTTCCAAATCGGACCGATTGCCCGGAAGTGTTCACCAATCAATTCAGAACGAAAACGCTTTGCCCATTTTATGGTTCGATTAGCTGTGGCAAGACCCAACAATATTCCTGCATACATCGGCAATGTTTCCGACGCGTCCAGAAAGTGTCTGCCCTGCACTCTCCCCCACGCTATCCTGACCATGTCGTGACTTGAACGGCCAAAGCAAAATTCACAATTGGATTGTGTCTGTTCGTGCTCACACTATTTCCATGCAAATGCAATAATAGTGTAATGACTAAACAGCCAATCAGGAGAGAGTGGATTTGGTTGGTGGATCCCGCGGGGCTGTTGAAATTTGCGTTTTCAGGCCATAGATCCAATAGAAATGAGCGACACGGAAGAAGTGGCCAAGGGCGTGACGTACGAAGAGCGCGTGAAGCACGTGAGCGTGATCGCGCAGCCGCTTGCGGTGAAGAAGTTGACCAAGAAGCTGTACAAGCTCGTCAAAAAGTCCACCAAAGTCAAGTGCACGAAGCGAGGAGTGAAGGAAGTCGTCAAAGCGATCCGCAAGGGCGAAAAGGGCCTGTGCGTGATTGCCGGGGACATCTCGCCCATCGACGTCATCTCGCACATCCCTGTCTTGTGCGAAAGCAACGACATCTCGTACGTCTTCACTCCGTCCAAGGTCGACCTTGGCGCGTCCGCGTCGTCCAAGCGTCCCACGAGCTGCATCATGATCACTCCTGGCAAGCATGGATTCAACGTCCAGGAAACGTACGATGAACTATTGGCAGAAGTGAAGAAAGTTCAGCCCACCTATTAGTTATGTAGTGTACCCTTTGTTAACAATATATTCCCACGCTAAAGACACTCCCATCGTCAAGGCATTCCTGGCGGCCACCTCGAATCTCCACGACATTCGTGGCGTGCACAACCATGTCTTTGTCAGGCAGACCACATGGCGAGTTGCAACCATGAGCCATCTCTAGGAGTTGGTCCATCTTGGTGAACTCAATCCAGCTCTTGCCGAGTGCTTCATGCGGGCAGGCGGCACCACAAGAAGTTCCTTGCTTCAGCTGGGCAAGAACAAGACAGGACGAAATATGTAGTTCGTGCGGTCGACCTCACTTCGACGGACAGGTAACACTTGCGCTGTCAACGTTTTCAGCGTCAGTGAGGTGAGGTGATGGCAAGCAAAAAGTTGTCAACACCAGCATGTTGAATATCCGTACTCATGCTACAGTTGTGATACATTCGAATACGACGACGCCTGGTGGCCGGCGCTCTGGGCCATTCCACGCAGCAGCGCGTCGGCAATTTCATCGTGATCAGAGCCCTCCAAGCTGAGCAAGTGGCTTAAGTCGCTCGAGCGGCCACCGCCTGACTTCAGTGTTGACGGTCTACCAAAGCTCGACATCCCAAGTGTGTTCGCAGCAGGATGCGGATGGTATGGTCGGGCAACTTCATTGCTGATATCTTCGTCGTCTTCGGACATTTCCGATCCAAACTCACTGTACAAACTGTCGAGCTGGCTGTCGTAGTCTTCGTCGTGGTTCATGCTTTCAACGATGGACACCATGTCGAGGATGCGTTCGCCACCGACGATCTTGTGCCAAGGAGCACCGTGCCCGCATTGCACACACAGAATCGACCCTTTGTCCGTGTATGATTGGCAAAATGAAGAGCATCCACACTTCATGTCCTCGGTGTCACGCCCAAACAAGCAGCCCTTGCGCGACCCCGACCGACTCTTTTGCCGCGCCATCTCCTCCCACAACAGCGCTCGTGCTGGCACAGGCTTCATCGGTACCAACCCCGCGGCGCGCTTTGCAGCATATTCAGCTGCTATGTCTTCGAGAATGAGTTCTGCTTGTGTCAATGGCTTGCGATGCTCCACTGCCGTCATTTGTGCGGAGGGTTGGACCATGCCCACGTGCCCACTTGATAGGATGGATGTGTCTTGTAATGCCGTCGACATCCGGATAAAATTTACACCATTTTTCTCACACTTGGTATTTGTGAAGGATGCTGGAGTCAGTATGGGGCTATCCGGTCGAAAATCACAACTTTGTCAAAAATCCAGGGTATTTAACTCCCCGAAAGTATCATTTTGAGCTCAATTGATGAGATTTTGTCGGAAATAATCTGGACAAATCTATATTTTTTTGTATTGGGAGAGTTTCGATCGCAAGCTCAACACAAACGAACTACAGTCGGTAGCGGCACGATGAAGGCGTATATCCTCGACGGCACGTGTACGAAAGGAAGGGCGTGGAGCCCGTATCGCATGATGGTAATATTGGATAGGTGTATTCCTTGCTGCTTCCCTGGCGGCGCTCGTGTGGTACTGCATGGTGTCGGCCGACTGGATGGGTCAACGTGGCGACATCGGGACGGCGGAGTACGCTCAAGGGATCGGTCTATGGGCAAACTATACAGCACGCCGCGGCGATGCTTGGTTTGATCCAGGGAATTCGTTCTGGTTGCCCATGCAAAGCACCGCGGTCGAGTTTTACCATGGGCAATGGTACGAGAGAATTGTAATCCGTACTCGCCCGTCAGTCTCACATTTGAATGTAGTGCGTCGTACCAGTACCCCGACTGCTCGCTCTTGGGAAGCGGGGAGTACCAAAAGCAATTGTGCCAAGTGCTCGCGGTGTACTGTGGCACCCCCCTTCTGATCATTCAGCTCATGATGTCGATGGCGGCCGGGATGGCGATTGTCGTGCTGTTGTGGGTCGTCGTCATGGTGGCTAACAAGCACCGAACAAGCACGGAAGACTACCTCGTCGGGCTTTGTCTCTTCACTGGTACGTGTCGTCATGCCCCCCTCCGTTCAAACTCGTTGTTCTGAGCGTAGGCATGTTGCTCATGGCCGTGGTCGGATGCTTTTACTGGTTTGTTTTTTCACCGATTTTGAAGACTGCGTTCTACGCCGACGAACGGTCTCGTTGCAAGGACAACGAGAAGGGCCGGTCATGTTGGAGCATTCGCATGGTCCCATACGCCACTATGGTCGCGAGCGGGCTGTACTGCGCTTTGACAGTGGCGCTGACGTCGCTCAGCGGTGTCAAGGCTGGTCGATACAAGGTACATACCCACCGCACGTGATCGAAATGCTGACTGTGCGTAGGTAGTCGTGCAAGAATATTGCCGAAAAGTCCTGGCCGATACAGATGCCCGCGCCATTCGTGAATCGACCACGTCGACGGTGCGCGGATCCGAAGACTCGATTCTTTCGCGCGATTCGATTGCTCCCGCCTCATAGTTGGGGTCATTCCGTCGATAAACATGTTGCAACGAGGCATTTGTGGCATCTATTGCTTGGCCTACACATGCCACGCCAAGCATGCCATCGTAAGGCTCTGGTTGGAGGTCTAAAGTTGACCAGCTGAGAGATCGTGAGAGATAGAGACCTTGTGTTGGTGGAATACTGTACATGGGATCACTCGCTGTCTCTATTGAAACGCAGTCGTGGCGCGAGTTCCGCTGAGGTCAGTCACACATGAGTCAGACGAGCTGATGCCAAGGGTACAGTACGACAGCACACGCACGCGTCTATCTGTATTCGCACTCAATCACGCAAATTTGTACGACCACGACGAGGCTAGCGGAGCCATCGTGCAGTCACAGGATGCTCGCGAAGAAGGGCCCTTGTGGTGGCTTGAAAGGGGGTATAACATCGGAGCAATAGGTCGTGGCATTGACGGCAAGCGCGACCAGGTGGTAGCGGTGGCCACGGACACGACGATGCAAACTACGTCGTGACGATGCTGAATGAACGGTTCGTACCAACCCATCCTGCAAGCGTGCACAGCCGATCGCGCCGACGACATATGCATCTACTCAACGAGTGTCGGTCTGCATGCAACACATCTGCGTGCTGTTCTCGAAGTTCTGCGATCGGAAAAAGCTGTACGCGCGTCGTGAAAAGTGCGCCTTTGCAGTGCCCAAGGATGACTTCTTGGGACACACGATTTCGGCTGACGGACTCGAGGTTGATGCCAACAAGGTGTGCTCCATTGAGAAGTGGGGCGGCGCCTACAACTCGGAAAGAGATGTTGAGCATGCTTGGAATGGCTGGGTACTTTCGCAAATTGATTGCAAATTACGCGAACTTGGTTCTGCCGATCAGCGATCTTGCCAATGAATCCGTGCCCTGGAAGTGGACGGAACTCAAGGAGAAAGCATTTCTCACGGTGAAAGGTACGACAAGCCTGTGCTTCTGTTGCCAGACTTCGACAAGCCGTTCATGATCACGACGAATGCGTCTGGGAATTGCTGCGACCCGGTCCTCTCGCAGTTGAATGCCAAGGGCTATGATCGACCGATTGCCTTCTTGTCGATGAGGTTATGGAATACTGAGTACAACTGGCCATCGCATGAAAAAGAATTGTACGCCATCAAGCTGGCTCTGACGAAGTGGCGGCCTTACGTATACGGCTCGCACTTTGACGTCTTTACAGACAATTGACTTGTCACTGGTTCCTGAAGACACTCGTGTTAACGGCGAATCTAACAAGATGGTTGGAATTCTACGGTTCGTTTGACTTCACTCTCCATCATCGTCCCGGCAAGACGAATGTGGTGGCAGACGCGTTGTCACGTCCTCCGCGTGCAAGTGTACAAGTTGCTACTTGCGCGGTTCACAATTGTGATGAACACTGACGTGCAAGATACGTTGCTGTGCGTCAGTGGAGCGAAAATGTGCTGTCAATTAAGCGCATTAACCTGCGTATACTTGTGTTGATGACAGACTCGCCTTCTCGGGGGGAGGAGGTGCAAACAAACTGTCTCGAAGTCGAAGTGCCACAACGACATGTCATCAACCATTCCGAAGAACTATCGTACAGCACCGTCAAAATGGACGAGAAGTTGAAACAAAGGTTCATCCAAGCCTACGCCAAGACCAAGGAATTCGAAGATGCGACTAAGTTTGTTGACGAAGATGTCAAGTTGTACGTTGCAACGTGCGAAACCTGTGCACGCTACAAGTCGAGTAGTGCTAAAGCCAAGTTGACGGAAAATTGGAAAGTGAGAATGTATTAGGAGTTTAGGCTAGTGGATAAACTAGGTTTCTAAGTTCCTTGAAGATTGCCGTGCTTGTTCTTCTCAAATCTGGTCTGAATAGCATCGTCAACATGTAGAAAGGGAAGATTATAGATGGCTAGATGCAGGTAGGCAGTATGATTCGTTGGCCAAATATTTGTCGACCAGTCTGTCTTAACATTCCTCCCTAATCGTGGCTTTCTGCATTTGTTGATTGTTGCTTGGAGGAGACAATATTGCTCTTGTCCTGCTGGAACTATGGTTTCGGCAGTGCTTTCGTGAGCATGTCGGCGATCATGTCGTTGGTTGCACAGTATTGGATCTTGATGATGCGTTGTTTTACCAGGTCGCGATTGAAGTGGTGCAGGACGTCAATGTGTTTGGTTCGTTGCTGCAACGTTGGGTTTTCGGCCAATTTGATTGTGCTTTGGTTGTCCTCATGAACGATGATTGGTAAACATAAGGGCATTTTGAGTTCTTCTAGGAGAGACTTCAGCCAGAGAGCTTCTTGGAGGCCGTATGCCATAGAGATGTACTGGGAAAGACAGAATGTAACGCCCACCTTGTCTTCGATGTCCAATGAAATTCTGGATTCTGGTTGGCCAGAGAGCTTCGAAGTTCGATGGTTATTTTAGCCTATCACAGTGCCTTCGACTAATTTTAATCAGTTGAACATAAAATTAAATAACAAGTCGCATATAAATCCTTCGGGGCGAACATAAAAATTCCGCCAATGATGTTGTGGTATTTAATTATAAATTATGATTTGATAATATTCGACGTATATAACATATATCTGCGGTGGGCGTTGCATTCTGTCTTTCCCAGTATTCAGCTTCTGACGTGGATAGAGCAACGATGTTCTGGAGCTTTGACTTCTAGCTGATGAGGCAGCTGTTGAAGTTTAGTATAAAGCCGGAGGTTGAACGTCTTGTTTGAGAGTCGTTCGCGTAGTCAGCATCAACAAAAAGTTCAAT